CTGGATCCCACGTGGCCGCTGCGTGGTGGGAGTCCAGGACCAGAGTCTTGGAGGACACGCTGGACACCGGGGCGTGCGTGCCTGGAAAATTCCCAAGAGGAGAATGTAGGAGAAGGGTTTCCGGTGTAGCCAACTCCCTTGGGGAGCGTTTTCTCACATTCTCCCTCTCTCTACCGAGCACGTACAACCTGTAACAAAATTAAATTAAAAAAAAAAAAAAATGCAGGCGATTTGGAAGCAGGTCAGGTGCCTCCTTGGTTAGGGCATGGCGCCCTCTGCTGGCTGATCACCGCCATGTCAGGTTTTTCTTCTCCCACAATTTTTTTTTTTCCTTAAAGAATTATTTACTGGGGGACTAGCAGTTAGCATACTGGCTATGTCGCTGGACTCCCATGTAGTTGACCGCGGTTCGAGTCCCGGACCCGGTAGCCTAAACTCACACCTGTGCGTGCCCAAGATCCCGAGAGGAGAATGGAGGAGAAGGGATTGCGGCGTGACCATCCCCCCGGGGGGTGATTTCTCGCTTTCTGTCTCTCTGTCTCTTTCTGTCTGTCTGGCGAGCGCATGTGCCCTATAGCAAAAACCTCTCAAAAAAAAAAAATTATTTACTGGGACCAGCAGTTGGTGTCATGGCCATGTCGCTGCACTCCCATGTAGTCGACTGCGGTTCGTGTCCCGGACCCGGTGGCTTAAACTCATACCAGGCGCGTGTGCGTGTGTGCCCAAGATCCCGAGAGGAGAATGGAGGAGAAGGGATTGCGGCGTGACCATCCTCCCGGGGGGTGATTTCTCGCTCTCTGTCTCTCTGTCTCTGTCTGTCTGGCTCGCGCACGCGCCCTATAGCAAAAACCTCTCAAAATAAACAGAGTCCAGCACCCTAACCACCATGCCACCTGCCTGCCCCTTATTTATTAGTATTATTTTTAACAGGAAGATATATTTTTATCATATCTTTAACTTGATTATTTTGGGTTGAGCAGAGAGGGACAGAGTGAGAAAGAGACTGAGAGAGAAAGAAGGAAAGTGAGAAAGCAAGCCATCAGGTCCAGGTCTTGAACCGCAGTCAGCCATGTGGATGTCCAGCGCCCTTTAACCACCACGCCACCTGCCGGCCCTTATTCTTCTTTTTAAATTTGACCAGAGAGAGAAAAAGTGAGAAAGCAAGCAGGCCACCAGGTGCAGGACTCGAACCGTCGACGGCCATGTGGGAGTCCAGCACCTTAATCACGACGCACCCTGACAAATTATTTCCCTTTATCTCCTCACTGTGCCTTGCACACAGGGTCAGGCTTTGCCTGGGCCGTTATCCTCTGCCTGGGATTCCTCCCCAGCCTCCTCCATCAGATCATTCTTCTTCTCGCCATGAACATCACCTCCTCAGGGAAGCCCTCCCTCAAGGCCTCGGTTAGGTCACAGAGCAATCATCAGACCTCACTATAGTGATCTCCATCCCTTCTTTTTAAAAATATTTATTTATTCATTATTGTTATTATTATTTTTTTTTGGAGAGGTTTTTGCTATAGAGCGCGTGCGCTCGCCAGACAGACAGAGACAGAGAGACAGAAAGCGAGAAATCACCCCCCAGGGGGGATGGCCACGCCGCAATCCCTTCTCCTCCATTCCCTGCTCGGGATCTTGGTCACGCACACACACGCGCCCAGCGTGAGTTTTAAGCCACCGGGTCCGGGACGCGAACCGCAGTCGACTACATGGGAGTCCAGCGACATAGCCATGACGCTAACTGCTGGCCCCCCAATAAGTGATTATTAAAAATATGCGGGAGCTGGCAGGTGGCGTGGTGGTAGCGGTGCTGGATCCCACATGGCTGACCGTGGTTTGAGTCCCAGACATGGTGACTTGCTTTCTTTCTCTCTCTGGTCAAATTGAACAATAATAATAATACATCAATTAAATGAAAGAAATCATTCTTTTTGGGAAAAAAGTGTTCTAGGAGGCAACCTAATATGCACAGGTTCACTGTGGAGACCTCCCTGATTACGCCAAACACATATATGCCCACTGCCTGGGGCCAGCTGAATCTGCAGGAATATGGCAGCATGAAGACCGTATTGGGAGGGACCAGCAGGTGGCGTGGTAGTTAAGGGCGCTGGATTCCCACATGGCCAACCACGGTTCAAGTCCCAGACCTGGCAGCTTACTGTCTCTTTCCTTCTCTCTCTCTCTCTCGTCAAATTAAAAGTAAATAGGGAAATAGCAGTTAGCGTAATGGCTGTGTCGCTGGACTCCCACGTAGTCGACTGCGGTTCGAGTCCCGGACCCGGTGGCTTAAACTCACACCGGGCGTGTGTGCGTGCGTGCCAAGGATCCCGAGAGGAGAATGGAGGAGAAGGGATTGCGGTGCGGCCATCCCCCTTGGGGGGTGCTTTCTTGCTTTCTGTCTCTCTGTCTCTCTCTGTCTGTCTGGCAAGCGCACATGCCCTATAGCGAAAAACCTCTTCAAAAAAAAAAAAAAAAAAAAACACAAATTAAAAGTAAATAAAGCTAAAAAAAAAAAAGAAGGGGCTGGCAGGTGGCGTGGTGGTTAAGGACACTGGACTCCCACATTGCCGACCACAGTTCAAGTCCTGGACCTGGAGGCTTGCTCTATCAATTTCCCTCTCTCTCTTTCTCTCTTGCTCTGTCCCTCTTTGGTCAAATTTTAAAAAATGAAATAAATGAATGAATAAATAAAGTTAAATAAAGTAATTCTTAAGAAAAAAAGAAAAGAAAGGAAAAGAAAAGAGACCCTGTTGAGGAGAGAAAAAGGTGGTATAGTGGTTAAGGCACTGGACTCCCACGTGGCTGACCAGGGTTCGAGTCCTAGACTTGGCAGCTTGAAACCCACTCCAGATGCAGGTCCAGGGGGACCTGGAATGTGGTGTGACCATTCCCTGTGGGGGGTGATTTCTTGCTTTTTGTCTCTGTCTCTCCAAAGAGTGCACACGCCCTATTGCAAACATTTCTCAAAAAAAAAAAAAAAAAAAAGACCATTAGGAATACTCTGTGTGTCTCTTGCTCACAGAATAAACTTAAAGAAAAAATAAAACAGGACCAGCAGATGGCATAATGGTTACATTTCTGGACTCTCCTGTAGTCAACCATAGCTCAAGTCCCGGACCCAGTGGCTTAAAGTTCAAAGGATGCATGTGCGTGCGTGCCCAAAAATCCCTGGAGGAGAATGGAGGAGAAGGGATTGTGGCATGGCCATCCTCCTGAAGGGGGTGATTTCTCGCTCTGTGTCTCTGTCTCTCTTGCGAGAACAAGTATCCTTTAGCAAAAATCTCTCAAAAACAATGGGGACCAGCAGTTAGCGTAATGGCTGTGTCGCTGGACTCCCATGTAGTCGACTGCGGTTCACGTCCCGGACCCGGTGGCTTAAAACTGATGCCGGGCGCGTGTGCGTGTGTGCCCAAGATCCCGAGAGGAGAATGGAGGAGAAGGGATTGCGGCCTGGCCATCCCCCCTGGGGGGGTGATTTCTCGCTTTCTCTCTCTGTCTCTCTGTCTGTCTAGCGAGCGCACGCGCCCTATAAGGGCGCTGGATTCCCACAGGCTGACCACAGTTCAAGTCCCGGTCCTGGTGGCTTGGTTTCTCTCTTTGGCCAAATTAAAAGTAAATAAATAAATAAAGTTAAATAAAATAATTTTAAAAAAGGAAGCTACAAGAGACAAGATATCCAGACTAATGAAAAAGAAACACCAACTCATAAAGCAATAAACACAATATAATTTATGAATAAAACACAAGCCCAAAGCATCTGACGGGTGTATCCACAAGTGTACAAACGTAAACAAGGCTCAGGGGCCAGCGGGCGGCGTGGTGGAGAAGGGATGGTAGCGTAGCCATCCCCCTCAAGAAGTGATTTCTCACTTTCCCTGTCTGTCTGTCTGTGAGGAGTGCATGCAACCTATGGGGGAAAAAATTCTAAAAAAAAAAGAAAATTCAGGGGGCACCAGCAGTTAGCGTAATGGCTATGTCGCTGGACTCCTTTGTAGTTGACCATGGTTCGAGTCCCGGACCCGGTGGCTTAAACTCACGCCAGGCGCGTGTGTGTGCGTGCCCAAGATCCTGAGAGGAGAATGGAGGAGAAGATTGCGGCGTGGCCATCCCCCCCGGGGGATGATTTCTCACTTTCTGTCTCTCTGTCTCTCTCTGGCAAGCATGTCCGCCCTACAGCAAAAAACTCTCAAAAAAAAAATTCTTTAAAAAAAATAAATAAATAAAAAACAAGTTAAGCTGTGACCCTGGAAGAGGATAAGAGAGATTTCCATGTTGAAATATTTCTGGATCATCTGTTTCTTTTTTCTCTCTCGCCGTACGGTGTGTGGGCTTGCAAGAGAAGGAAACAGAAAGAGAGAAAGAGAAAGCAAGAAAGCAACCCCCAGAGGGGATGGCCTCACCATAATCCTACACCCCTCGGAATTCCAGGCATGGACACACGACATGTTCTTCAAGCTACCAGGTCCACAACTCGAACCACACAGTCGGCCGTGTGGGATCCAGCACTTTAACCACCACAGTAGTGACTGGCCCTAGGTTTTTATTTTTAACTCTTTAATTTAGGTTTACTTATTTATTCCATTAGACCAGAGAGGTGTGACAGAGTAAGTGACAGAAAGTGAGAAAGCAAGCTGCCAGGTCTGGGACTCGAACCATGGTCAGCCATGTGGGAGTTCAGCACCCTTAACCACCACGCCACCTGCTGGCCCCAGGTTTTGGTTTTTAACATCCCTTTGGCCTTTGCAAACTAAAGGGGAAACAATGCAACAAAGACCTAGAGGGGTCCTCTTATTCTCCATCTCCCAACCCTAAAGGGACCTCCATTCTCCACCTCCGGGACCTGAGTCCCCCGCAACTCCCTGCAAGGACCTCACCAACTGGAGGCACCTGTTTCATGGAGCCAGCTAGTGGTGTGGTAATTAAGGTGCTTGACTCCCATATGGCTGACCAGGGTTCAAGTCCCAGACCTGGCAGCTTGCTTTCTCACTTTCCCTTTCTCGGGTCAAATTACAAAAGAATAATAATAATAAATAAAATTAAATAATTATTTGTTTTAAATGAACGATGCTATTTCACTTTATCATTCTGGGACCAAATTTAGAATCCCTTGTTCCCAGATCCCCATGGGAATTCCAGGTACCCATACAGCCTGGGCCCAAGCATCCCCTCTGCCTTCACTTTCCCACGCAGAAGTCCCGGAAGATGATGTCCAGGACCTCTTCGGTGCCCCCTCCCCCAGAGACGCGACTCAGGTGTCCCCGGGCGACCCTCAGCGCCTCGGCTGCCAACGCCAGGTCTTTTGCCTCCTTGTAGTGGGTGAGGGCGTCCAGGCAGGCTTGGAGATGGTGCCGGTGCCTTGCACGGGTCAGGAGTGGGGGGCCTGTGGATGGGTCCCCGCACCTGGAAGAAACAAAACACGTGATCTTTCTGATTCTTTGTTGTTTTTCCTTTTATTTTTTTTTGCTATAGGGTGCATGCACTTGCTGGAGAAAGGCAGAGGGAAGGAAAGGAAGAAATTGTCCTCTGCAGGGGACAGCCAGGCTGCCATCCCTTCTCCTCCATTCTCCTCTTGGGATTTTTGAGCACGTACACGTAAGCACCCAGCGTGATTGTCCAACTGCCAGGTCTGGGATTCGAACCGCTGTCAGCCACGTTGGAATCCAGCTGCCTCAACCTCCATACTACCTGCTGGCCCTCTTCTGAATCTTAGCAGCCACTCTTTGAAGAGAGGATGAGTTGGGACCAGCAGATGGCTTAATGGTTACATCCACGCAGTTGACCTCGGTTGAATCCCAGACGTAGTGGCTTAAAACTCACACCAGGCATGTGTGCGTGTGTGCCCCAAATCCCAAGAGGAGAATGGAGGAGAAGGGATTGCGGCGTGGCCATCCCCCCTGGGGGTGATTTCTCGCTTTCTGTCTCTGTCTTTCCAATAAAAGCACGAACCCAATAGCAAAACTCTCTCTAAAAAAAAAAAAAGGAAGAAGAGGGGGATGATTATACCCATTTTTTTTCTTTGTCTCTGTTTTTGCTATAGGGCACACACGCTCACCAGACAGAGAAAGACAGAGAGACAGAAAGCGAGAAATCACTCCCCAGGGGGGATGGCCACGCCGCAATCCCTTCTCCTCCATTCTCCTCTCGGGATCTTGGGCACGACGCACACGCGCCCGGTGGGAGTTTAAGCCACCGGGTCCGGGCCACGGGCCACAGTCGGTTTCATGGGAGTCCAGTGACGTAACCATTACGCTAACTGCTGGTCCCCCCATTTTTGTTGATAGAGAAACAGGTTGAAGGGCAGGCACCCAAAGCCGGTGACTCAGCTCACACTAGAACTTGGGGAAGGGAGCCTGGGGTGGCGGAGGGAACTCACACTGCAGCCAGCTCCTTCCTCAGGGCCTCCAGGAGCCCGTCCAGCCCGTCCCTGGTCAGGCAGGACAACAGCAGGTGACGGGGCAGGTTGGCACCAGGACGTGGACCTTCAGGAGGCAGCAGGTCGGATTTGTTCAGCACCAGCAGGAGGCGCTGGCTTTCACTGGGGTTCTCGGCTCCCATGGGGGCTATAACTGTGTCCAGGAAGTTGCAGCTGGAGGGGGAAGCTAGGTCAGAGGCGTCCAGAACGGCCAGAACGAGATCAGCTTGCTCCAGCCTGGGGGAGCACAAAAAAACCGAAGGAGGTGACCACAGAGTTGAGCAATGAAGGGCAGTGGGCGGGGCAGACCGTGAGGGGCGGGGCTAGGCATAAGGGGCGGGGCCGAGCAGAAAGGGCAAGGTAGAGGCTGATGGGCGGGGCAATGGGGGCGTGACAGAGGGTGAGGGGCGTGGCAGAGTGCTAGGGGCGGGGCCGAGCATGAGGAGGTGGGGCATAACTTAGAACTATCAGTAAATCAGAACTTAATTAGATAATCATTGAAGTCCCCACTGAAGGGAGTTGAGCAGCCCTTTCTGCCAAAGGGCGGGCACCACCACGCCCAGGAGCCCTTTCTGATTCAGTCAGAAGAGAAAGTAGGAACCAGCAGCTGGCCTGGAAATTAAGGCACTGGGTTCCCATGTGGTAGACAGTGGTTCGAGTCCCAGAACTGCTGGCTTGCTTTTTCACTCCCCCCCTCTCTTCTGGTAACCACAAATTTAAAAAGTAATAATAATGATAAGGAGTTGGCAGGTGGCACGGTAGTTAAGGGAAGTAGATTCCTACATGGTTGACTCCTGGACCTGGTGGATTGATTCCTTACTTTCCGTCTCTCTCGCTCTGTCCCTCTCTGGTCAAATTAAAATTCAGTAGATAATGGGACTTGCAGGTGGTGTGCTGGCTAAGGAGCTGCTCTCCCACCTGGATGACTGCAGTTCAAGTCTCAGACCTGGCAGCTTGCTTTCTCGCTCTCCCTCCCTCTCTTTCTCTGTTGTGTCTCTCTCTGGCCAAATTAAAAATCATAAAAAGAAATCATTCTTTTTTACAAAAGGAGTAAATAAAGTTAAATAATACAATTACAAAAAGTTTTAAATCGTAATAAATAAAAATTTTAAAAGAATGAAAAGTAAACAAAACAGGGAGAAAAGACCAAGGAAAGACCCGGTGTCCCCCACCCGTGCTCACCTCTTGCGGGCACGCCGCACTCCCTCCTGTTCCACGGGTCCCACACCCTCCCGCAACCCTGCTGTGTCGCTCAGTAGCACAGGGAACCCGGCCAGGTCAACAGGAGTCTCCAGCACATCGCGGGTGGTGCCAGGCTCCGGGGAGACGATAGATACAGGCTTCTGGCCTTGAGGAGAAGTCAGAGATAAAGAGCCTGATGGAAGAAACGGTGCCCTTTCTCCAGGCTTCACACTCTGGCTGGCTGCTGCACCAGACCTGAAGGGATCAGCTTTCCAGCTCCTGGCCCCGCCCCCAGCACTAGGCCACACCCACCCCTGGCTGGGCCCTGCCCCAGCCCTGGGCCCCGCCCCTCCATGAACCTGCCCCG